CTCGTGTTAATTACCTTATAAAGTTAAATTATCATTATTAATAATTCAGTTTTAACATAATTGCAGGATCAAATGTGAGAGGAATTTCAGTTACATGCATGTATTACAATTAATCTTGTAAATATGGAGGTCGGGTCCCCAGAACCAACCGGTTCTTTGTTTACAATAAATGTTATAAGTATATAGAAATTACCTTTTCAGCCTTTAATTACAATTGTAATAATTATTGAACAATTTCATGTGTATTTTTTCAAAAAAAAAATTTAGTTGAAATATTGAACATTATTTTTACAGACTCAAAATTAAAATCCACAGCCATGTAAGAACATGAAAAACACATACACTCAAGTTTTCTTCTTTTTTTTGTAAAAGTATAAATTATGTCTCTCACATCCTATGACTAACACTATATTAATGAAAAATGTCAGCTATGGTACTTTTCTGACCAATTATTATAACCCGTGCGTATTGACCTTTGGTTCCAGTGTAAATTAATTTTTGAACAATACTTTGTGTAATTGATTGTTATAAAGGAGAGGACGTTCTAAGTATTAAGTACTTGTGTCCAATCCTTTTGTTGTACCATCTTAACAATAAAATATGTTCAAACCAACCCGTGCAAAATTTTACCGGGGGGGATACAGGCACGTAACAGCTGGTGGAAGCGCTCCCCACACTTTTTTTTTCCAAACATCTCTTTCCTTTTAATAAAAAAGACTATACCCATACCTAATATATATTTTTTTGTTAAAAGAAAAATAAGTAACGACAGGTTCCTGTGGTTGTATCTGTAAATAAAACAACCTATCTTCGACACAGGTGATCAACTCGTGTTACGCATATCTAACTCTAGTGCGACACGGGTTGTCTTAATCGAATACACTCCCAGTGATCTAAAGGAAATATCTTGTGTTGTTGAGTGTTTGTATAAATATGGCGGTAGGAAAAAAAATACTAGTATATGCATACATGTACTGAGTATCTGTAAAGACAAAAAAGCATGCACCCGTTTTGACATTCAGATTGTGCATGCAGTGGCGTATCCAGGAATCTTGAAAGGGGGGGGGCAGTTTGAGGTCGGAATAGGTGCCATCAGCAATTAAAATATGAACATAAGAAAAAAAGTTCTTGCAAAGGAATTTAATAGCGTGTTCAACTGTTTTCTTTCGTTGCAATTTTTCAAATATGAGAGAAAAAACTGGGAAACTCAAAATGTTTACGGGGTCATTCATACCCACCCCCACCTCCAAACACACTGTATTGACTGTACAGATGATACGTAAATTTTGCCACAGTTAAGATTTATGACTCTATCTATGTATCCAGGATTTTAATAGATAGAAAGCAGATCTAATTTGTATAAAATTTTAACAGTTTTACACTCTAGGTGTTTATCCGAGCTTGCTGGAGAGGGATACTCTAGCAGTAATCTTAAGATATTTTTTTTAGATTTTTTATTTCTCTTACCAATTAACATGATTCATTTAGATATCAAATGTTAGCCTCTCTTTTTCCAGACATACGGTTTTCACTATAGAAATGTTCATTGAAACCCCCAACAATTTCTGTTAAATTGATGTAGTAAGTTAGTGTAAAAATAAGTACTGAAAGAAGTTTGAGTTGTAATTTACCCCCCCCCTTTCCGAATAGAACAACCGTTTTCTTTTTTTCGCTTGTCCAGTTCTTTTCAGGTACTAGTAAATTGATTATTTCTTCTCCGACGACCCCCCCCCCCCCTTCGAAAGGGATGCTACGTCACTGCTATGTCAGTGGTTTTCGTGAATAAGAGACTTATTATGGCTATAATCAACTTGCACTTATTAATGAGGGATTAAATATGCATAAGTTTACCCATCGTCGCAAACCACGGCCAAAATGTACGATCCTCTCCCATTCTGGCCGTGGTTGAACGAGGAGAGAATTCTTCGTAGCTCATTAAAATTTTGACCAATGCGAGTAAAGCAAAGTCGGAAGATGAACTTTATCCCGACCTTTCAACATCCAATCGCAGTAAAGGAATTTTTTTTTGTATACTGTTGACGTCAGTTGTTGATTTCAATTGCGATGGAAACAAAACATGCCACTGGCTGAATATGACGTCACAATAGAGAGGCGTGAATATTCAAGACTATGACACTTTTTGTGATCAAGCAGCCACGGGTAGGAGAGAGCTATATGCGGACTCCGGACCGTGGCTTGAGACGATGAAGTTTACCGTTTCTGATAAAATTTGTGTATTTTAAATGATTTATTTTCCGTTTTCCGTTACGCGTTTTAGCAACATCCCTCTTATTAAGATAAAAAAAAAGTAGAATGAGAATGTCTTCACATACAAACATGTCAATAGTATTAAATATTATTGTGACATACCATCGTTTTTGAAAGGGGTGGGGGCAGGCCAGAGAAAAAAATAACAAAACTCCTATTTATTTAGAGGAGGGGGATGTAGGTCCCACTTCCTTCAGCACCAAATATTATTCATACAAGACGACTTCACCCTTGCTTGGCTTAACTGTAACAAAAAGGGAGAGGAAGCTATCGGTGGTCTTTCAATGAAGATTTTTTAAAAGTAAAGAGATGTTTGGGGGAAAAAAAGTGTGGGGAGCGCTTCCACCAGCTGCTACGTGCCTGTATTCTCTCCCCCGTAACATTTTGCATGGGGTATAATAATTGGTCTGAAAAGTACCATAGCTGACATTTTTCATTAATACATGTATCGTGTTAATCATAGGATGTGAGAGACATATACTTTTACCAAAAAATGTGACGCCGGTTGGTAAGAAAACTTGAGCTAATGTGTTTATTTCATGGTCTTACATGGCTGTGGATTTTAATTTTGAGTCTGTAAAAATAATGTTCAATATTTCAACTAATTTTTTTTTTTTTTAAATTCGCATGAAATTGTTCAATAATTATTACGATTGTAATTAAAGGCTGAAAAGGTAATTTCTATATACTTATAACATTTATTGTAAACAAAGAATCGGTTGGTTCTGGAGACCCGACCTCCATATTTATAAGATAACATTGTAATATATGCATGAAACTGTCAGTGCTCTCACTTTTGATCCTGCAATTATCTTAAAACTGAATTATTAATAATAATAATTTAACTTCATAAGGTAATTAACACGACATATCTATGCTGCGATTGTTAAATCTAAGAAAATAATTTTTATTAGTGAATCAATATGCATCTATTCGACATTTTTGTAATAAAGGGGCCCGTTTTACAAAAGAACTTACACCTAAGACCAAAATTTAATTCTGCAATTTTATTCTTCTTGAAAAGAATTTCGAATGTTTCTATGGTAACAATTTCCAAAACAGTTAATTTTCAAAAATTTATAATCAACATAAGTTTTTGGTTTTAGTAGTAAGTTCTTTTGTAAAACAGGTCCCAGGGGTTCGGGCAACAATTATAGGCAGATTTAAAAAAAAAGCTGGATAAACTTCTTTATTTTTTAACAAAATTAAAAACTGTCAATGATAACACAACAGTAATTTTAAGAGGTTGGCCTAAAAACTAAAAAAAAAAAAAAGGAGGGATGTCAAAATTATAATGCAGACTTTTTTTTTCATTGACGTTTGTGTGAAATTCAAACAAATAATGAAACTTGAACCCATTGTTTTAAACCCTCAGAACAAATTTACAATAAGATGCACTTGACAAAAACAGCAAAGATCTGAAAAGAGTAAAAATAAGAATTAAGAAGAGAAAGACATTTTTATATGCCATTTTCTTAAGTTTTAGTGGTCTTGTTGTTCAAATTCTTACTGGGGGCCGCAGTTCAATCTGAAGGAGTCTAGAAATCAAAAATCTTGCCAACAAATCGAAAGGTTTATGAGAGGAAGGAATTAGAAACAGGAATCCACTACATTAAATTTCTTCATGACAGCGTTCAAACACACTCCCTGAAGAGTAAATTTTAAAGTGTTTTTGGGATAAACAGAAAGTTAATGTTTTGTCACACCAGCACTATTCGCCAGGTCTGTCACCCTATGACATGGTTCATTTCTAAACTTGAAAAAAACAACAACACTTTTGAGAAAGAAGAAACAAGTCCAGGAAATCATAGGATCTGTCATATTCCAGTACATACGATGGGCCATACTCAAAAATGATTTCTAACAACAATCAGAAATTGGATAAAAATGTTACGGACATGTGTTTTAATTAAAGAGAATATTTAAGTTATATAATTAAGACGTAATCATTGAAAAGCGTCTTTTGCTTCTTTCCCATCGTCGGAAACCCACGGGTGATCTCGTCTTTACTTATCACCCGTGGGCAAACTCGCCGAAAAATCATCGTATGTAATTAAATATGCATGGGTCATTTGATGGGCCGCATCACAGAGTCGCGATGCGAAACAACGAATTACAGTTCACGTTACGTATGCATGTTCGGCATTGCCAAAAACATGAAAAACTCATTCCGTAGTTAACACAGCTGATAAATCCACTCACCGGTGCATTTTACAGTTACATGTAGAAAGAGGTACTCCTTCATAATATCTGACGGATATTAATGTCAGTGACCTGTACGAATTGACTTTCATTGTTTTAAATCAAACTTCGCACGTTTTAACGAGCGTCAAAATATTTACCATAAATAGCAAAGTAATAAACGTATTTTTCAAAATTGAAGAGTTCCAACTTTCTGATTGGTCGGCTAAAAACAACAAATTAGCATATTTTACGGCGATATTTCAGCTAGTTTGCCCACGGGTGATAAGTAAAGACGAGATCACCCGTGGGTTTCCAACGATGCTTCTTTCCGAGCACAGAGGACATTATTCATTGAACAGCCCTCGTATAAGAGGTCTGTGTTTGCTCCGCTCCTTATTTGATTGATTGATTGATTGTTTATTTTTCAACGCCGAGTCGGCAATATTTCAGCCATGTTTCGGCGCCTCCTGAATTGTATTGTTTAAATGGGCTTTGGGAGTTTGAATACTGTTAAATATCTCCATATATTCCCTCTCTCTATTTATCAGTGAGACAAGATATTGAGGAATTGTCAAAAAAGATAGATAAAAACCTCAAATGGATTCTTAAAGTTTTGCCAAATAAAGCAGGTAAGTACAAATTCGTTTTACGATCAAGATCTTGAAGATGATTATTTGTTAAAATCTTGTTTGGAAAAGTCTTGTTTTACTATTCTATGGAATATTCGCAGACTTTGACGTCTGGACGGGGAAAGACAAGAGGATTTTACAAAGAATTTATCATGCAATCAGTAAGTTAAAATGTTTATTCTTTTTAAAAAGAGTATGGAGAAATATCGGCATCTCATAAAGTTAATGTATATTGTGAAAACCTACTTATCGTCTTCATCCCTTCTTATTACAGAATGATTAAATCAGTAATAATAAAACTGCGATCAAAAATGGGATTATTAAAAATATTCGGATTATTTTTTTCCTACAGGATGTGTAACTGACTGTCATGACCGTAGAGACGGAGACTACCAGTCATGTTTTTATTGTGATAAATTTGTTAAATGTCATAGAAATGGTGATTTGGTTTTTGAAGACTGTACTCCAACAAATACTACTACACTCTACTGGGATGATTTTACAAAACGATGTGAATATAAGTCGCGCACCTGTGATCCATCTTATACATTTAAAATAACTAATTTTTTGTAACAAACAACCTAAAAAGTACCAAAGAGTCCTTATTTTTCGAGATGATTTCATGTATCTGCTTATATTGTGAAGAAGTTGCATGACATTACTTTCGAAGAGATATTGCTTCTTCACTTAAGTCCAGCATATCTTAATATTGAGTGCCTATCACAAAGATGATCATTCTTTTTGATGATCTATTCAAGTACAAATATATATTCAGTGTTACATTAAAAAAATGAATAATACTTTTTCGTCTAGTGATGTTTATAAACAATTTCTTTGCAAAATGTTTTAAAAGATGAATATTTTTTTTTTTAGAATTTTATTTATGTTAGAGAGGGTTTTTAATGAAATTATCCCGAAAAAGTTAAAATTCTGAAGCCCATTTTACAAACTTACGACCAAGACCAAAATTTTAGTTGATTGTAAAATTTTGCAAAATTAATGATTGAGTTTAAAACTGCTATCATGAAAATATCTTTCTACATTCCTTTAAAAAAAAATTAAAAGCCATTTTCAATTTAATGCAATTAAGTAAGTTATAAGCAGAATAAATTTTGGTCGTTGTCGTACTAGTAAGTTCTTTTGTAAAACAGGCCCCTGGATCATAACTAAGATCCAAACTATTCTCTCCTTTTATTTTTCTAACACTGCTTGGATTGTGTGTTTCTCAAATTATCATATTCCCTACGAAAATTAGATTAATAAAATATTGTTTGTGCATGATCAAATTTAAGAAGTAAAGAAATAATAACATGTGACCAGTTAAATGTAGAAAAAAATGGTATACTACGGAGCTGATCCATAGGTAATGACCCAACAACTGTAAAATCTTTAAAAATCAAATGTTATTATCAACATTTTATGGAGATTGATCACTGATCGTAATCTTTATCTTTTACACTGATACACAGCATGTGATTTCTTGTGAAATTCAAGAATCATGGAAATCTTACCTTTATTAACACATTGTATCATTTCTTTAAGTTTATTTTTTTTTATTTTTGATTACGGTCGGTCTTTTTATGACTCCAAATATCCAATCCAGTTTTCTTTGCGCCTGATTCGCTTTTCTTCTTTTCTTCTTAAAGTTTTGTTAAAGTATAAAGTATAAATCAGAATCCCGTCAGAGGTAAAGACCTAGAAAATGACAGAGTCATTTTTCGCTAGATTTATCCAAAATGTTAATATTTATGTTCCCCAAACGAAGTTGGGGAACATATTGTTTTTACTCTGTTTCTTATTATTATTATTTTTCTTCTCGGGAAAATTTTGTCCGCGAATGATCTTGTAAACTACACATCTGACTAAGGTGAAATATTTTTAGGGTAAGTAGACATGTTATGTAGATTTGCGGAACGAAGGTCATTTTGCGCGCACGTGCTTGCAAGAGCGCGCACGTGCAACACGTGAAATGACCAATATACTTGAAATTGCCGTAACTTTTACATTTTTCGATGTAATGCTTTGATATTTAGAATATATATACATATTATAAATGTAGATAAGATGACATTGTCAACATGCCATTTTGTGTGCACGTGCGTGCAAGAGCGCGCACGAGCATCACGTGAAATGACCGATTTAATTGATATAGGCGTAAATTTTTACCTTTTTGATGAAATGCTTTGAAACTCATAATATAAGGATATAGTAGTAGCATAGACAATATGACATGGTCAAAATAGCAAGATCTCACGCGCATGCACGTGTGCTTTGCTCTGATTGGCTGAAACTAAAGTCTCAAAATCTTTCTTGTTTTTTGATGAAATCCTTTGAAATTTTGAACATAGCCATGCATTAGGATACCCTACAACATGATCTATAACAATTTTCATGAAAACACGTACATGCATGTGCGCTGCAATCTGATTGGCTGAAACTTGAAATGGCTATAACTCCCTTGGTTTTCAACCAAACAGCATGGGATTTGGAACATAGATAGATATAATAGACTTCTACAAAAAGGTATGGTCACCATGCACATCCATACACGTGCGTGTACGTGCGCTGCAATCTGATTGGCTGAAACTTTAAATAGCTATAACTCCCTTAGTTTTCAACCAAACAAGATGAGATTTGGAACATAGATAGATATATTGGACTTCTACAAGAAGGTATGATCACCATGCACATCAAAACACGTACGTGAACGTACGCTGCAATCTGATTGGCTGAAACTTTAATCAGCTATAACTCCCTTGGTTTTCAACCAAACGGAATGGGATTTTGAACATAGATAGATGTAATGAACTTCTACAAGAAGGTATGTCACCATGCTCATGTATGCACGTGCGTGCATGTGAAATGAGTAAAATCAAAAATACTCTTGAATGAGCGTATTCTTTAATTCTTTTGGATTAAATACTTAAATATTTAGTGTATCAAAGTATATAGATTGTGTAGACAAGATGATATGGTCATTACGCACATGCATTCACATGCGCACGCGTGCAATGCTAAAATTTTAATGAACTTGGTACCCTTCTGGGTAAACGTTGTTAAAGTCTCAAATGCATAAAGTTTGTCTTATTTAATGAAGCTTATAGGGAATATGGCACCAAAAGGGAGATGGGGAGCGTTTGGGGAACATCTGTAACGGTCCCCGTTACAATTAGCACTAGTTCTTTATTGTTCCAAGGCAAATATTTCTAACAAAATGTATCAAAATGCATTCATTACTCTTTTTAGCTCACCTGAGCCGAAGGCTCAAGTGAGCTTTTCTGATCAAAATTTGTCCGTTGTCTGTCGTCGTTGTTGTCGTTGTCGTTGTTGTCGTTGTCGTTGTTGTCGTTGTCGTCGTAAACTTTTCACATTTTCATCTTCTTCTCAAGAACCACTGGGCCAATTTCAACCAAACTTGGCACAAAGTATCCTTGGGTGAAGGGGATTCAAGTTTGTTCAAATGAAGGGCCACGCCCTTTTCCAAGGGTAGATAATCATGAATTTGTTAAAAATTAATGGCATTTTTAAAAAATCTTCTTCTCCAGAACCGCTGGGCCAGGAAAGATGAAACTCATGTGGAAGCATCCTCAGGTAGTGTAGATTCAAGTTTGTTCAAATCATGACCCCCGGGGCAAGGGTGGGGCCAAAATGGCCGACCCAAGTTTTACATAGGGATATATAGGAAAAATCTTTAAAAATCTTCTTCTCCAGAACCACTAGGACAGGAAAGATGAAACTCATGTGGAATCATCCTCAGGTAGTGTAGATTCAAGTTTGTTCAAATCATGACCCCCGGGGCAAGGGTGGGGCCAAAATGGCCGACCCAAGTTTTACATAGGAATATATAGGAAAAATCTTTAAAAATCTTCTTCTCAAGAACCACTAGGACAGGAAAGATGAAACTCAAGTGGAATCATCCTCAGGTAGTGTAGATTCAAGTTTCTTCAAATCATGACCCCTGGGGCAAGGGTGGGGCCAAAATGGCTGACCCAAGTTTTACATAGATAGGAACAATCTTTAAAAATCTTCTTCTCAAGAACCACTGGGCCAGGAAAGATGAAACTCAAGTGGAATCATCCTCAGGTAGTGTAGATTCAAGTTTGTTCAAATCATGACCCCCGGGGCAAGGGTGGGGCCAAAATGGCCGACCCAAGTTTTACATAGGGATATATAGGGAAACCTTTTAAAATCTTCTTTTCAAGTACTTCAAAGCTATGATTAGTGATATTTATATGGAATCATCCTCAGGTAGTGTAGATTCTAGTTTGTTCAAATGATGAAGGCCTGGAAGGGGGGGGGGGTAAATTCAAGCCCGATGTGCTCAGGTGAGCGCTGTGGCCCCTGGGCCTCTTGTTCAGATATCGCTTTGCATGATAACATTTTCTGAAATCGTTTTGCATTCATCACCTTTTCAGATATCGTTTTGCCTCTGAGATGAAACATATGGAGATAACGAACAGTATTTAAGATCAAAAGTCCATAATAAAATACAAAATAGGAGCAGAACAAACACGGACTACCAAAACATCAGAGGTGGGATCAGGAGCCATGGAGGAGTGAGCATCCCCTACTTTGAACCAATGATAAATTGTATTTGCTGACAAGGTCATTGTATCGACCATAGAACTTACAAAATGATGACTTTAAACGAGACTGTTGATATTCTTGTTTCATCAAATTGTTTGTTAAAAATTTAGCTTGTTTTAGAAATTGTTTATACGTAGAGCATGTTCTTGCGTATCAAATCAATTTATATAAACTCGTATGCAAGTGATGAAGGTATTTTGATGCATAAGTAAGGGAAGCTGATGATAGAAAAATACAAGTCATCACGTTTATCATAGAGCTTGGTTGTTAGATTACCATTAGCGTCTTTTTCAAGTTAAATATCCAAATATGAAACAAATGTGTCAGACTCTGTGGTATCTTTTATTTCAAGCTCACCAGGATATATCGTATCGAAATAAGAATGGAAATTACCATTGTTCATTGACAATACGTCGTCGAAATATCAAAATGTCGAGTTGAAGGCCGCAGCAAGTGCTTTTTTTTTCTTTTCACGTAATACTATAAGACTTTGCACAAATTTGTACAATCAGAATATTTTTAATAAAAAATATTTTTACAAATGACCAATGACAAGGTAAGTAATTTACGAGTTCCATTTTTAGGTCACCTGGGTAAACTAAGGTGACCTATTGCTATCTGTTTTCGTCCGTCGTCATGCGGTGTGCATCATTCGTCGTGTGTTAACATTTGAACATTTTTAGCTTCTTCTCTGCAACCACTCAACCAATTTCCATTAAATTTGACAAAAAGCATTCATGGGTGAAGGGGAACAAAAATTGTGAATGTCATGGTCCCTGCCCCCCTGGACTACTTATATACTGAAAATGAGTTGTTTGAAATCTGCTCCTTGGTATTATTCAAGCATTTTTGATAAGCAAGGGTGCCTTTTCCAAAATTGTGAAATGTGTGGAACAAGGGTCAGGGATTCATGTGTGGAAGTGTCACTACTGATTATTGCTGAATATTACTGATTAGTTGAAATGCATTTTTTGTTCCATAACTTTGTCTATGGGTATTAAGTAACTAAAGTAAGCAGGCAAAGTGTATAGCTATGAAAAGTAATGGTGCCTCTTTCAAAATTGTGAATGCCATGACGTCTAGTTTAAAACATGAACCAAATTCAATTGTTGGAAAGTTGTTGCATGATGCTCAGGTGACCTATAAGGCCCATGAACTTCTTGTTATTGAAAAAGCAGCTGTCAATGATATCAAAAAGCCTGGACTATGATATGGGGAATGGTTGTGTATAAAGTTGAAAAGTCGTAAGTTTTTAAGGCATTGATTTTGGTAAAGTCTTGTGATTTCAAATTGTCCAAATGTTCCATGGAATTTTAAGTACCCAGATCTGATTTAAACCGCTTCTTGAATATATTGCTGCACAGTACTCTTGAAGTTTCTCATTCACTACTGTTAATATCTTAGTGAGGAGTAAAGAAAAAGGCTTGGTTGAACATTTACTGGAACCCGCTATGTACATGTATCTTTGTATTTATGGTAGTTAAAATTCATTTTGGTTCTTTGGTATATAAAAAATATTCAAAAATGACGTATGATTTTTGAAGAATTTCTTCAGGATAAAAGAAAGACAGACCAACGACAGACAAAATAACCAATTGGCGTAAACACACGTTTTTAGACGTCTCTCAACTCCAGATAATTCAAAATTGTTTTGTGGCACATGTTTGTAGCGAAATGTATCGAGATAACAAATAATATTGAAAAGTCCATTAAACAATACAAATTTTGGTGCGGAGCAAACACGAATATCTGAATCATTGAAGGTAGAATCAGGTGCCATGAAGGAGTGAGTCTTCCCTGCCGACGGGTCACACCCGACCCGCTATGTCCTCCGTGTCATGACCAGGAAAGAACGGGGAAATCCGTCTTAAATTCAGTGTATAAATAGTGGATTAACAAACAGTATGCAAAAGTCAGTCAGCATTTGACTTTATTATAGATTTTATTTGCTGATAAGGTCGCTGTATCGACCATAGAACTTATCAAATATGGCTTAAAACGAGACTGTTGATATGCTTGCTTCATCAACTTGTTTGTCAGTAACTTAACTCGTTTTAGAAATTATTCATACGAAGAGCATGCTCTTGCAAGGAATAGCAAGACAGAAAAAAGCTAATCCGTCCTCCTCATACATTTCCAGAGCATCATGCCACCAGTACAGGATAAAAGAACACCAGTCGCCAATAAACGGCACAGGGAAGAAATTGAGTCAGCAGCTAAAGGGAAGGGGAGAAACAAGCGTCCCCGCCCGGATGCGCGGACACAGCGTCTCGTGGAGAACCCTTTCCTCAATAGTTTTAGTACTAAACTACTAATGATTATCACCTGTCTGTCAGATAGTTCCACAAGGTTTTCCACATTTTTATCCAAAATCATGCAGATATTGCCCTGATTTTTGTATGATCTGCCTCAATGTATTTAAACGAACATTGGCATTAATTTTCAATTTTTAATGGAAACTAGTTTATACTTGCTGGTAGTGAACAATTGATAATGCGATACTCTCAGAATGCTTTTTAATTTCTCTTTACTTATATCCAGAAATAGACTGAGGACTTCATAGTAATGTTTATATACTAATTAAAAAATAACTTGAAAATATTTTATTCATTTTTTTTTATTCGTTGAAACCCCCCACCCCCCAAAAAAATCAATGCCCTCAAACTTTTGCACAGGAATGTTTGATCTTACTTAGTATATTTATCTAATTGGGACAATGTATAGATTTTTGGGATTTCGTTTATGGAATACCTTCTTTAGAATTATTCTAATGGAGGAAAAATTAATAGATCCTGACAAATATATTCTTACAGTATCTAGTTTAAAAGGACATCGACTCTGTTATCCTTCTTCGATGTGATGAACATAATGAAAACGGTTACAACTTTACGGCTACAGTTACAGTTTTTCTGTTACAAATACTCATTAATGTCCCACATAACTTTCATTCACTCGTCAATCCTGTCACCCAGTTACACTGCATACTTCTACGGAATCCGCTGACTAATTAATAAACTACAGTTACCATATTGATTTCGGAATACTAGGAAAACAATGGCGGTAATGGTCGCCGGGCTCCACGGATCAATATAGGATGTAACAGAGCCCAGTGCTCCAGGAATCGGCCCTGCACAGAATCACTTAAGCAACAGCTTGGAGATGACATTCCAGTGCTTCGGAATTTCGCAGACTCCGATCAGATGCAGACAAGTAAGTTGCGCAGGTACAGTGATTTACATGTATACACTTGCACTTTTTTTCACTTACAGGTAATTTCACCGAGTGCGGATGTGCTTAAATTGCATCTATGAATTTGTAGGTAATTTTGACATCAAAAATCAATTACTTTTTGAATAGATGTTTTAGTGACTAGCCTTTGTAGCCTACCACTTCTGAAATTTCCTAAATATTTAAAAAAAATTTTGGTTTAAGTTTCTTAGTTTTGCTTGAATTCTGTAATCTAATTTTTAAGCAAAGGGCAAATTTATTTGAGCTGATTCTTAACTGACAGAATTTTCTGAAATAAAAAAAAGATATTAAATCTTGCGAAGATATGCTTCAATATTTCAGAAATGAAATGCAACGACCTTTGTTTCAATAACTGTAATTTCTTATCAGTCGAATCAGGATGAATGTTTTCTGCGCATAACTGTAAGAACACGATCCTATATACGCTGTCTGCTATTGACTTGTACTCCGTCTCGGTACATATAAATGGCAACCATATGTGAAGTCATTGTGAAAACTGGGTAGAAATAAAATTTTAATAAGGACTGACATATGAAGGATAATTAGTGTCCTAAATTCGGATTTCAGATTTTATTAAAACCAAGAGTCATAAATATCATAGGTATATATTTTGAATTATATGGAGATAACTTGATTGCATGACTTCAGGCCGTGTCAGATGAATTCTTTTTCATCAACTTCCTTTATTTATATACTAATTTCCCGCCATCACCTGCATATTTTATTTAAAATTGGCACTTAATATAGCATGTTATGAGAAAAATCAGATTAAACCGAGGCAAAGTACTGACAGATAAGTTGATGTTACAGAAATTTCAAAAATCTTGTTTCAAAATCAGCCTTGGATTTGGATTTTAACCTTCGATTGCATTTTGGTCGAATTAATTTGGCCACAGAATGTTCTGTTTACCTGATCGATGCTAAGGGCTCAGTGCTGGTGGTCGAACTAAAGGGGATCTTTACTCCTCTATAGTCACCTGATCACACCTCATAGTCACCTGATCACACCTCATAGTCACCTGATCACACCTCATAGTCACCTGATCACACCTCAGGAAAGTCCGGGGATCTCTGCTTATGTTCACAGATGTAAATATATTCTTTGTAGAATTTATAGGATAGATCGATCTTCGTTCTATTCACCTTTTTTTAATTGTCATGTATACAATGGTTTATAATAAAGGTAGTACAGTTAGAAGTCATTGCGTGCAGGAGATGTGTCTTAAAGTGCAAAAATCTTGAAATATTATAGACACTTTCTACAGTAAAAAAAATACTTTTGGGCATGTTTTTGTAACTGTTGCAAATATTAAATTCCTAAAATATTAGCTATAGAAATTGTAAATAAAATAAGTTCTTTGATGTTCTTAATTCTCGTCATAAACCTATTCAATTTGTAAGACGTAATTGAGAAGTTTTGATTAACTTCATTTTATTATGGAAACATATGTTTAATGTCTATGTTCGGGAAAAAAATGTTTTCCTTCCAAATAGATTGCTCGCAAACAAATTACTGTCTTGTCTGTCTTTAAAAAGCTATAGGAGAAGAAACATAACACTACATGCATATATAAAAAAAATTGTTTATAACTGCATAAAATGTATGTTCAGTATACATTAAGTGCAATGGTTTCAATAAATGTATAACGATTTCAAATTTTATGTAATAATTATATTTTTCATCAGATTTCTATACCTGTGATTTTAACTCTGAATAAGATGTATATTATTTAAAAATAACCTTCACGCCCCCTTTCCCTTTTTGACTTCGTGTGAAATATGGAGATAACGAACAGTAATCAAGCTAAATAATCCATTGAAACAATACAAATCAGGAGCAGAGCTAACACGGACCTCCAAAAACATCAGAGGTTGGATCAGGTGCCCTGGAGGAGTGAGCATCCCCTCTATCAACTGGTCACACCCGCCGTGTGCCTCTTGTCATTATCGGAAAAACGAGAAATCCGAACACCATTTAGTGTGAAGCTAATGACCTAATTTTTAAGCATTCTACTGAAGGTGGAATATCTCTCAGATAAGAGATATCAGTTCCAAGGAAAATCATGCCAAATTGTACGGTAAATTGTCTTATAGGGCATAAAAATTGTCAGTACAAAAGAATAAGTGTTAATTTACCATCTGGTAAAAAATTCTTGTGTACTTCTGCTGACGTATAGTTAATAATGTTACATGGACGTACATGAATTGCAATTTTACAAAGTCGTGATATTCCACAATCCAAAAAAAAAATTCCAGCTGTAAACATGTTTCTTATAAGGAAAACAGAGAATGCAATTTATTTTTGTTATAAAATTAGTTTTCTACTAACTATGTCACAATGCTTTTGCCAGTGGCACAATACGGTAGTTATTGGACATCATATTATATCTTGATTCAATATTGGTGTTAAATTTCATCTCTAGATCGATATGGAATACACAGAGAACGTATGACTCATCTCTCTTCTTCCCATGGATTGCTGGATTTTACAGATCAATATTATGAATCATGTTTCCAAATACCGATCTCTTACAAACTAATATAGCAAGACTTTCAAATAAGAGACTTTCTCTCTGTGAGGGTGTGTGTGTCTGTCTCTTTCTCTCTGTGTTTTCGATTTTCAGGTGAAGGAGATTTTCATTCATTAAAATTCCCAAAATGTTTTTAAACTCAGAGTGTTTGTAGGCCCCTGATATGCATTTCTTGTTTTTTGGTTGTCAGATGTTGAGCTTTACCTTCTGTGAGGAAAGGATGATTTAATCCAGAAGTTAAGGAACAGGTTAGACATCAAAGGTATAAAAAATGATTAAAAATAATTAATATTATTATAGTTGATTTGAACAGATTTGATTGTTATTCAAAATTACAAAGGGGTTTGGGACAAGTTCTGAAAACTTATTACACCCTCTCACTATGTGTACGTAAATCACACATTTAGACAGTGAAACATTAAGTCTTATATACATGTATAGACATATACTGATATATTAAGAAAAGAGACGTT